GCCGGCCGGCATCGGCACCGACGAGATGGTGCCCACGCCCCCCTTGGAGGTGAGCGGCCCGGTGGGGGCCGCCCTCCTGGCGGGCTCCTTCTTGAAGCTCTTGACCTCGAACCTCTTCTCCGGCCGCGGTCGCGCTGGCCGCCCCCGAGGGCCGCGCGGCTGGGCGGTGCGCCGGGCAGGCGCGGAGGCGTGCAGCGTGCGCCGCCTCCCTCTTGGAGGCGTGCCAGCGCGTGCCGCACGCTTCCGCGCGCCGGCCAGCCAGGACGTGCGTGCGTGCGTGCGGGCTCGTGCTGGCACGCGTGCGCCCCTCACGCGCAGCCGGGGGCTGCCAGAGGTACCCCCTGGCCCAGGGCGCCCCCAGTATTCCACTCCGCTCGGGAGCCCCTGGGGCCCTCTGGGCCTCGCGAGGGGTGGGTGCTCCGGGGAGGCCCCGGGTGCCTCCGCGGGCATCCAGGGGGGGCACCTTGGGCCGTGGGGGGGCACCTCTGGCAACGCCCAGCACAGCTGCACGCTGTCACGCGCGAGCCGGCCCCGAGCGGAAGGAGCGTGCGTGGAGCTGGTTTGGTGCACGGCAGGCGTCGTCCGAACGGGGGCAGGCGTCGTCCGAAAGGGGGCACCGGACCCCCGACGTCAGGACTTTTTCACGACGTCGACCCCCAGAGGTCTCGACCCCTTCCCCAGGACCGGTCATTCATCCTGAGTCGTTTCTTCACGATCCCGAGGCCCGGTAAGGGCCCCCAGAGGCCGAAAACAGCGAAAAACCTCCCGTCGTGATTTTTTCATGACTCAACGGGGTCTGGGCAGAGGCCAAACAACGACAACGATCCACACCAGCTGATTCGAGGCGACCTGCACGGCTTTTTGGCGTCGGGGAGCTCTGTTCGGTGGGCTGCTCCTTGGCCCCATGCAGGTGTAGGTCTCCGCGAAGGTCCTCAGGGGGAGGGGGCCTCCAGGGGTCCCCAGAGCCGGGCCTCGGAAGGTCCACCAGAGGCCCCCTGGAGGCCAAAAAAACAAAAACGCACAAGCATCAGGTCGGGCATGTCCTCCTACAGGCGGATGTTGGACGACAAATCAAAGTACCCCCCCAAAAAAAATATTCGGAAATTGCCAAAAAATAAACGAAACTCGTCACCAGACTACTTTTTGGCAATTTTTTGAATATTCCTCCTGTAGAGGGACGTGCCCGACTTGACACAAGCACCTCGATCCAGCATCTTCTGGCCCCCAGGGAGGCCACCCGACCACAGCTCTTGGGCCTGTACTTCTCGATGTCCTTCTTGTCCACCATCGAGAACGCCTGGAGCATGTCTTGTATTCATTACCCGCGGTCACGCCCGTGACATGCCCCGCCCCCGCCACCCCCAGCCACGTCACGCTTCGCGCTGGCGCCTTGCGGGAAGTGGCCACACCAGAGCATTCCCACACGGCGCCAGCGCGCATCGAGACATGACCAGCCCCCTCCCAGCCTGCCCCCCCCCCGGTCACGCCCGTTGCCAGACTCCCGACGTCGTGATGTTGCCTCGTCGACCCACGGAGGTCTCGACCCCTTCCCCGACACCGGCTCCTCGTCCTGAGTCCTTTTCCGACGGTCCTGGGGCCCGGCGCAGGCACCCCGAAGCAGAATCCCACCAGCCCTCTGGGCGTAGGTGGTTTAGAGCGTGTCCTCTTCCACCCTCTCCCTCTTCTCCGTCGGGGAAGGGTTCACTCCTCCCCCTTAATCCCCTCCCCTGGACCTGGACGGGGCGTTTCGCCAGGGGTTGGAGCGTCCAAGATGGCCCAAGGTTGCTCCAAGAGGGCCTCAGAGAGCCCAAAATGACCTCCAAGATGGCTCAAGATGGCCCAAGATAGCTCAGGATGGGTTCCAAGATGCTCCAAGAGGCCCCAAGACCGCTCCAAGACGGCTCCAAGTGGCCACGGAACCTCCCCAGGAAGAAGCTAAGACCCAGGACGGCCCCAAGAGCGCCCAAGGGCGCTCCTAGAGAGCCCCAAGAGCGGCCCAAGAGGCGATCTTAGGCGCTCCCGAAGGGGGGCCCTAATTGGAGCTATCCCCTTCTTTGATCGATCTCCTCCAAGATGTCCCCGAAAGCGCCCCTAAGGCTCCCAAGAGCGCCTCAACAAGGCCCCAACAGGGGCCCAGGAGGCCCCAAGAGGCGCCCAGGAGGCACCCAAGAGGCTCCCTAGAGACCCCCAAGAAGGCCGAAGAGGCTCCCCGAGGCACCCAGGACGCTCAAAGACACACCTGGGGCCGCCAAGAGTCTCCCAAGACGCCCCAAGAGGCCTCCACAAGGCTTCCAAGAGACATCCGATGAAACTCCGAGAGGCGTTCGAGAGGCCTCTGGCCCGTCTGCTCGCTCGCTCTCCTCCTCCTCCTCCCTCCTCTCCTCTCCTCCTTCCTCCTCCTCCTCCTCCTCCTCCTCCTCCTCCTCCTCCTCCTCCTCTCCTCCTCCTCTCCTCCTCCTCCTCCTCCTCCTCTCCTCCTCCTCCTCCTCCTCTCTCCTCCTCCTCCTCACTCCTCCTGCTCCCTCCTCCTCTCCTCCTCCTCCTCTCTCCTCCTCCTCCTCCTCTCCTCCTCCTCCTCCTCCTCCTCCCCATCTCATAAGCAAATGAATCATCCTTCTCCCTCCTTCCTCGTCCACCCTCCTCCTGCCTCGAGCGATGACGGCTGTCCCCTCCTTTGCTCCTGCACTCACCTGATCGTCTCGACTCACCTGGGCGTCGGTTATGGATAAGCTGGTGGGGAGAAGGCCTCCCGCCGTGATTGCTTCACGTCGCGAGGGGGTCTGGGCTATCGCCAGATCAAAAAGCGCTCTCCTGGCCCGCCGACGGCAGCCGGCGGGGCGCCCCGCCCGCGCCCCCGTCGTCCGAGTCCTCCCCGGCGCTGTCCTCGGCCGCGCCCCCGGCCGCGGACGAGGAGCCCTCCGCGGCGCCGCCGCCCTCCGAGCTGGCCTCCTCTGAAGGGGCCCAGGGGCACACAAACAAATAGACACAAATCCAAGGTGGTTCTCCTCCCCAAGTACTTAGGGGGGAAGTCCCAGGGGAGGAGGGGGACAGATACGCATCCGTCCCTGGGGGTCCTCCCCCTCCCCTCCCCTCTCCCACGCCGGTCCTCCTCCAGTCCTCCTCCCCGGGGGGGGGGTCCCAGGAAGTGGGGGTCCTCCTCCTCCTCTTCCTCCTCCCTCCTCCTCCTCCTCCTCCTCCTCCTCTCCTTCTCCTGCCTCCTCCTCCTCCTCCTCCTCCTCTCCCTCCTCCTCCTCCTCCTCTTGTCCGCCTCCGCCTCCGCCTACGCCTGCGGCCTACGCTACGCCTCCTCCTCATCATCATCATCATCATCCTGCCTCCTCCTCCTCCTCCTCCTCCTCCTCCTCCTCCTCCTCCTCCTCCTCCTCCTCTCCTCTCCTCCTTTCCTCCTCCTCCGCCTCCTCCTCCTCCTCCTCCTTCCTCCTCCTCCTCCTCTCCTCCTCCTCCTCTCCTCCTCCTCCTCCTCCTCCTCCTCCTCTCCTCCCTCCTCCTCCTCCTTCCTCACTCCTCCTGCTCCTCCTCCTCCTCCTCCTCCTCCTCCTCCTCCCCCTCCTCAGCCTCCTCCCCCTCCTGGTCGTCGTCGATGTCTTTCAGAGTCGGCGGCACCGGCCGTCAGGCGTTCACAATAGACACAAATCCCAGGATGCCACATATTGTTCTACATTTTCTGGGTTTTCGCCTCCCTCCCAGTGTCCATATTTTCCCATCTTTTCGCTGGAATCGACGATGAGTTGTGTCTGTGTGCTTTTCCCCTCACCAGCCGCAGCCTGCACGCCCCCACCGCTTGCGCTTGCGGCTGCTGACTAAAAGTTTTCACCCTCCTGATCCTCTGAGGCGCCCTCCTCCGCGGCGGGGTCCTGCGCGTCGTCAGCGCCGGCCGCGCCGCAGTCGGCCAGGGCGGGGTCGGGGGCCCCTGCCTCCGCGCGGGCGGGGTCGAGCACCTCTCGGGGGTTCCTGGAGGTGCCCCCGGCCCCCAATGGTGCCCCCGGCTCTGCGCTCCACCCTGGAGCTCCTGGGGCCCCCCTGGGCCTCGCGAGGGGTGCTCTGGAGGCCCAGGGGGGGCCTCCGCGGAGATCCTGGGGGCACTTCTGGGGCCGTGGGGGGGCACTTCTGGGCAGCACCCGAAGGCCTCCGCCAGGAGGCGGGCGGTCTCGGACGGCCCGTCCTCGCCCTCCGAGCCCTCCCCGGGCCGCGCGCCCGCGCCGCCAGCGTCCTCGGACTCGGAGTCGTAGTCGCCCAGCATGCGGAGCCGCCGCGGGGCCGCGGGGCCATCGCCCGCCGCAGGAGGATGGGGCGACCCGTGGCACACCACCGCCCGCGTGCCTGGACAGGGCCTTCGTGACGCCACGAAGAGAGTGTGAGAGAGAAGCAATACACACACCTACCTGCCTACATGCCGACCTACCTACCTACCTACCTGCCTGCCTACCTACCTGCATGCATGCATGCATGCATAGATACATACATACATGCATACATACATACATACATACATGCATGCATGCATGCATGCATGCATGCATGCATGCATACATACATACATACATACATACATACATACATACAGACAGACAGACAGACAGACAGACAGACAGACAGGCAGGCAGACAGACAGACATGCATGCATGCATGCATGCATGCATGCATACATACATACACACACACATACCTATCTACCTACTTACCTACCGACCTACCTACATACATACATTACATTACATTGCATTACATTACATTACATTACATTACACTACACTACATTACATTACATTACATTGCATTATATTACATTACAATACAATACATTACATTACATTACATTACAATACAATACATTACATACATACATACACACACATACATACACACATACATACATTCATTCATACATACGTACATACATATATACATACATGAATACATATATGTACATGCATACGTACCTACATACATGCATACATATACACACACATGCACACATGCATACGTACGTACATACATACTTACTTACAGGCATATCTACATACATGTATATATATGTGTACATACATACCTACATACATGCATACATGCATACATACATGCATACCTACATGCCTACATACATACGTACACACATACACACACACACACATACATGCATGCATACATGCATGCATACATACATACAGACAGACAGACAGACAGACAGACAGACATGCAGACATGCATGCAGACATGCATACACACATGCATATATGCATGCATGCATGCATGCATGCATGCATGCATACTTGCACACAAACACACATACATACACACATGCATACACACAAACATAAATACACAAACCTATACAGACATGCATACATACATGCATGCGTACATGCAGTCATACAAACATACATACATATATGCATGCATGCATTCATGCATACATACGTACATATGTATATACATACACACGCGGAGACCCTCCGACGACATGTGCGTGTACCTGCAGGGAGGGCGGCGGTGTAGAAAGTCAATGGCTCTCAGTGGTGCTTTATACACCGCCACCCTCCCCCGAGGCCCAGGAACAATCCATGGGAGGGTGTCTGTGTACATATATATATATATATCATATATATGTATATATATATATATATGTATATATATATATATATATATTGTTGGCGGACTCCTGGTCCCTGCCCCGGGATCCGGCGCCAGCGGAAAGATTTCAGCACCGCCAGAGAGATGGCGACTGGAGAGCCCGAGGCATCTTCTGGGCCGGGCGAGGAGGAGTAGGATAGGGAAAGGGGGGGGGTCACAAAAAATCTGCTGCGTGCAGCTGGCTTCCGCCCCTCAAGCCGGGCCCATTCCTCGACACATGGGCGCCTCCTGGCGCCAGGAGGCGCCATGAAAACCAGCTACGTGAGCTGATTCTCTACCCTCCCCATTTAGAGGCCTCCTAGACAAGGTCCGAGTAGATGGGGTCCGAGGATTGCGCCGCATCGCCGATGCATCGGCGACGCATCGATGATGCATCAGCCATGCATTGGCGACGTCGGCGGTGCATCGGCGACGCCAGCGTGGAGAAAATCGGGCTCCGCACCGCGTCGCATCGCCGATGCATCGGCGACACGGCGCGATCCTCCGACACCTTCTACTCCGACTCCATCTAGGAAGCCTAGACTTAGGTCGGGCGTGCCCTCCTACAGGCGGATGTTGAACGCATTTTCCTCTTAAATATATAGAGAGAGAGAGATTCAAGAATCCAAAAATCAGCCCCAGACTATTTCCCAACCAACCTGTGTTGTTGGGTCCTCGTTTTGAAGAGACGGTCCCCGCGTTCCTCCTCCTCCTCCTCCTCCTCCTCCTCCTCTTCCTCCTCCTCCACCTCCTCCTGCCTCCTCCTCCCCTCCTCCTCCTCCTCCTCCGCCTCTGAGTCCGCTCCTCCTACCTCCTCCTCTCCTCCTCCTCCTCCTCCGTCCTTCTCCTCCTCTCCTCTCCATAATGCCCCCTCTCCCTCCTCCTCCCTCCTCCCCCTCTTCCCAGGCGTTTCAAAACCCACTCAGTACAGCGTTTCGTGGCCCCATAGGGCTCCACCGAAGCCCCAGTGCCACCGTCCACATGCGCCTCCCCGCTCAGTACAGCGTTTCGTGGCCCCATAGGGAGCTCCACCGAAGGCCCCAGTGCCACCGTCCACATGTGTCCCCCCCACTCAGTACAGCGTTTCGTGGCCCCATAGGGAGCTCCACCGAAGGCCCCAGTGCCACCGTCCACATGTGTCCCCCCCACTCAGTACAGCGTTTCGTGGCTCCATAGGGAGTTCCACCGAAGGCCCCAGTGCCACCGTCCACATGCGTCCCTCCCACTCAGTACAGCGTTTCGTGGCCTCATAGGGAGCCCCACCGAAGGCCCCAGGGCCACCGTCCACATGCGTTCCCCCCGCTCAGTACAGCGTTTTTTCGTGGCCCATATGGAGCTCCACCGAAGGCCCCAGTGCCACCGTCCACATGCTCCCCCCCCACTCGTACAAGGGGCGCTTCGTGGCCCCATAGGGAGGCTCCACCGAAGTGGCCCCGCAGTGGCCGCTTCCACATGCGTCCGCCCACCAGTAACAGCGTTTCGTGGGCCCCCCCCCCCCCCCCTGGGGAGTCAGCCGAAGGCCCCAGTGCCACAGTCCCACAATGGCGCCCACCCCCCCCCACGCAGTACAGGCGGTTGCGCTTCGTGTCCCCATAGCAGCCCTTCGGAAGGCCCCAATTGCCACCGTCCACATGCGTCCCCCCAATCAGTGCAGCGCTTCGAGGCCCCATAGGGAGCTCCACCGAAGGCACCGAATGCCCCAGTGCCACCGTCCACATGCGCCCCCCCCACTCAGTACGTTTCGTGGCCCCATAGGGAGCTCCACCGAAGGCCCCAGTGCCACCGTCCACATGCGTCCCCTCCACTCAGTACAGCGTTTCGTGGCCCCATAGGGAGCTCCACCGAAGGCCCCAGTGCCACCGTCCACATGCGTCCCCCCCACTCAGTACAGCGTTTCGTGGCCCCATAGGGAGCTCCACCGAAGGCCCCATAGGGAGCTCCACCGAAGGCCACCACCGTCCACATGCGTCCCCCCCACTCAGTACAGCGTTTCGTGGCCCCATAGGGAGCTCCACCGAAGGCCCCAGTGCCACCGTCCACATGCGCCCCCCCCACTCAGTACAGCGTTTCGTGGCCCCATAGGGACCCCCACCGAAGGTCACAGTGCTACCGTCCACATGCGTCCCCCCACGCTCAGTACAGCGATTCGGAAGCCCCCAGTGGGACCGTCCGCATGCGTCCCGGAAGCCCAATTTGGCATTTCCACACACCCAGTACAGCGCTTCGTGGCCCCATAGGGAGTTCCACCGAAGCCTCCAATGGGACCGTCCGCATGCGCCCCGGGAGCCCAATTTGGCATTTTCACTTACCCAGTACAGCGCTTCGTGGCCCCATAGGGAGCTCCACCGAAGCCCCCAGTGGGACCGTCCGCATGCGTCCTGGAAACCTTACTTGACACACCGCTCACCCAGAACAGCGTTTCCCCCCACCCAGTGCAGCGCTTTGTGGCCCCATAGGGAGTTTCACCGAAGAAGATTTCCACAATTGCGGTACCCACACCTGTGTATGGTTGGGTCCTTAGCCAGGATAATTTTTGACTATTTTTGAACACTCCTCCCGTAAAGGGACAGGCCCGAGTGAAGCCTAGACCCGGGGCCCGAAGCCGAGGCGAAGGCGCCAGGCGTGAGGAGGCGGCGGCGCCCCGATTCCAGGGGGTCTGCGCCCGCCGCTGAGGGGGGGGGGGGGGGCCAACCTGGGCCCGGGGGGGGCGGTGCGCGGACCCTGGCGGGCCTCGGCCGGGAGGCCTCCTCCCTCCTCCCTCCTCCTCCTCCTCCTCCTCCTCCTCCTCCTCCTCCTCCTCCTCCTCCTCCTCCTCCTCCTCCTCCAACCACACGTGAACGTTTGCAGGTCAGATGTCTGAAACGCCAGCTGGGTCTCAGAATTCGAATACCGTTGGGGCCCGACCACAAGAAACCTTCCACAAGAAACCCAACCCTGAGAACCCAGGACGTCCCTTGACTTTTGTGGTGGGAGCGTCACGCTCTCCATCGCAAGACCATCGAAACCCAAGAAACCCAGGGCACCCTGGAGGGAAGCAGGGTGGGTCTTGGCATGGGCCTCCACTCTACGTGTAGACATATCGATTTTTAGACGTACTTTACACCAGAGGAAAGCCCCAATCGGTAGATGGTTGGAAACATTTGGCTGGTACCATGTCTGGCCGAAGTTTCGCCGTGGGGCCCGAAGAGGCAATAAAGACTGATTCCTTGCAAACGGAATAGATCGGCCCAGAACCAGCAACCACGAACCCGGGAACCCCGAACGGGGAACCTGGGAACCCAGCAGGCGGCTACCGAAATCGGCCCGGGACTTTCGCCAAGTCTTTCAA